ATTCCTGCACAGTTGTACTTTCCTATACCCTACTAACTCCTCTTCTAAAGTTGAGTTAATAGAACAGTTCAGTTGGAAGGGACCTACAACAAACATCTAGTCCAAATTAATCTACTTCAGAAGTTGCCACAAGCACAGAAGATTTTTCTGGACAAAGAGGGAATGCAGAGAGAGGATATGAACAGCTCTTGATAGGGCTTGTTTTAATATAATAGTGCTTGGGAGTCTGGATGGCTTGTCTGAGCTGCTGGAGATTTTAGTGGCCGATAAAGTTCTCATCAAGGACAGACGTAAGTGCAGAAGCCTCTGGCTTTCTCTGCTTTTTTAGTAAAAATACCCAAACAAACCGAAAAATCACTCAGACCTCTTCTTCCCTGAACCTCCATTGGTTGAAATTGAGTCAGCTGTGTGCTAGATAGTATTTATTTGTCTGTTAGCATATTGAAGCCATGTGCCACTTCATGTTTTTGTCCAGCCGACCAAGGAGCCGTCATCAGCGTAAAACTCTCCTATCCTTACTGTGTTACATGCCAGCATAGCAACACTGGGCTACCCTGATGTTATTTTCAGGAGCAAGCAGGCTGTGGATTGGGAAGAGGAATGCAGTGGAGGAAGGGACTCGGCTTGTGGTTGGGTGTTTGACTGCAACTGCAGAGCCAAGAAACTCTGCAAGGGAGTCTGCATGAGTGTCGGTGTCCACATAATGTCCCCACTGACAACATTTTTTGTATTAAGTGATGGTAACAGGGAAATATGCTGTAGCACTGCATTGATGATCAATATCTCCCACCCTACATGGGACAGATTTTGTTTTCTGAAGCTGCCAACTGAGCAAAAGATCGGCAATTTCTGTGTTCATCTCCGGTTTTCCTCTTAGAAACGGTGCTATGTACTGCCATGGTGGACATCTCACTGCCTCTTTTGTCCTGAGTTAGCATTGCTCTCTCTGAAGTCGGGTTCACGTTGGACTCCGCAGTTTCTATGGCACTGCAGCTGAACATCTGAATCAGACACTTCCTGAACTAGAAAGTTGAAAAAAAGGAGATCAACCAAAACACATAAGGAATTTTAAAATATCTCTATAAAGCAGTCTGTGTCTTAGCTAAAACTCTTGGAAATTTTCTCATGAGTCAGTTGGGAATATAAAGAAATAGCCCCACAAAATATATTTGCCTGTGCCACCATGAAGATCTCTGAGAAATAAGCACATTCTAAAAAGACCCAGACTTCTGGAAAATCTTATTCTAAAAATATTTTTCCTCTTCTGCCTGTTACTAACCACATCTAATGGATAGAATTTATCATTTCTCCAGGCTCATGAGTTGCTTTCATATGCTAATACCCAGATATTCAAAGTTGGTTTGTTTCCATGTTGTTCATATCCATGAGCAGGGTAAGACCAGCATACATTTGCCATGCATTGGGAGATCAGGGTGCCGTCCATAGGATGTGAGACAAGCAATAGCTCTCCCTGCAGGACTGAATAAATAAACGTATTCATCACTTCTCAGTCAACAGTCACTTTACTACTTTTCTTTTTTACGCTTACATGCTTATACTCTGCTTGATGCCACCACTCTTAGTAGCTACATTCATTGCATAAATCTATGCAAGTTTATTATCATGCCTGTTACCACAGTGAACACATATCACTCTGGTTCATCCCCTTGTCAATTCTTCTTCTCTGCATCCAATCCTCTGCCCCCATTCCAGAGAAGAAAGCTCCCTGTCCCATAGGCACATGTGATGCTTCTACCCTCCCTGTACATGCAACCATAATGCAGCATTTCCCTGACACAAATTCAAGCTTTTGGAAACTTCCACCCCACCTCAAAATCAACTCACTGGTGTTGCATTCCTAAAGAATTATAAAAATGTACTGGGACAGTCTTGAAAATAGAATTTTCATACAGAAAACTAACTGATGTTCACTAAGGGCCGATTTTCCTTTATAATATCTAAACCTAATAATTACTAATGTTCATATTTTAACAATGCACAGAGGGTTACGCTATCTTCCAGTAGGTAGATATACAGTGATTTTCTTTTTAGTTCTAAATGCTGGATATTGCCATGCTAGTTAACTAACATGTAGGTAGGTAGAAATAATTCATTATAAAGCAAGAAAAAATAACAAAATATGAGTGTTAAAGACACTTTGAGAGCATACAGTACCTGTTTGTTCATAAAAACATAAATAATTGGATTATACACAGTAGCTGTTTTGGAAAAGAAAGCTGGAATTGCTGCCAGACGAGGATCCAGCTCAATGGAAGGGTATGCAGTGACCAGGATAGAAAAGGCGGCATACGGCATCCAGCAGATTAGAAAGGCAATGATCATAACAACAACCATTCTAGTCACTTGTCTTTCAGGTTTCCTGGTAGTTCCCAGCCTGCGTTGTGTATCTGACACCTTTAAAGAAAAGATAGAAGATTCCAGAAAACAAACAACAAGGCCTCCAACCAGTGAATTTAGTGAGGAGGCTAATAATCTGCCATGCTCGAAGGAAAGACCTACTCTTCTTGAGTAGGACAGCACATAAGGATGTTATTACTGGACCACAGGGTGTCAATGTTACAGCTGAGGAACATGAATTACTGTATACTGTCATTATTAAGTTTTCCTTTGCTTAAGTATCTTTATATTTTTATTGTCAATGTGAGAGCAAAAAGCAATTACTAGGGCAATCTCTGTGTAGAAATATAACTGCAGTCAGGCATGACTGCAGCCTATAGAGACGCTCCCAAGCTAGCTTCAGCCAAGCCATGAGGAGCAAAGCGAGGGCACAGGTTTGCTGTCCAGCCTCACAAAAGTTAATCTAGCTTGATGGGTGGTGCAGCAGCCCACCCCAAGGCAGTGCAGAAACACCTTTAAATTCCATTTGTGAGAAAAGTAATCCTAATGATTTTAGTCAAATCAGAGACAAGATTTGGTTTCTATTTAGAATGCCAAATAACAGAATACAATGACCCTGACAGAATGAGTGACTGGCAGTATCTCATAACAGTAAGTTACCTCTAAAAATATGACATAGAAATTAGGGCTACCTTTTTGGGTGATACAACTCACCACACATCACTAACTTCAACGGAGCTACCTCGGCTTACAGCAGCTCTGGATCTGCACAAAGCCTAATAAAGCTAGACTTCTTGGCTTGCAGGAAAGCTGACTGGAGAACATTTTGTCTATACTGGCAGGAGCAGTATCCCTTTCTTCTCCTTTTCTGGTCTTTTTGTGAAATGCATTTGCTGCTGTCTGGACAAACCAGTTTGTGTACAGCAAAAGATAATAAAAACCACAATTCCATAACAAGGCAAATATGAGAAGCAAATACACTTTTGAACCAGCCTTACAGCCAAACAACTTTAATTTCACCTACAAAACTGTCTTCTGCACCAGCTGGCCCAAGCACAGCATTGTCCTTATGAGATCTTTTTACAAGTCTCAGCAGTTTCACATTTCTTCCAAGTTCTCGTTCAGGCCACTGCCAGGGGCTGGCTTTAAGTAAAAGCTCTTGCCTTGGACCACAGACTTTTCTCTGCCAGAAGCTTGGTAAGACAGGCTCACGGCTGCTGCAGTTGGCATCAGCAGAATGGAAATAACCCCAGGCAAGGTGGTGCGGGAAAGGAGACTGAGCTGTCCCTGTCCCCCTCCACCAGCACCCAAGTCCCAACCTGCTCCCAAGGCTTCACACCAAGCTGGTCTCCCCAGCCCTCTTCTGCTGCCCCTTCTTGGTGTACCTGAGCCCTGGCCAGCTTCTACCCACCACATCCACAGGGTGTAACAATTCAGCTTTGGTTAACCTTTTGAGAAGTTTTCAGCCAACTCCCAATCTACCCCTGCCATTATGGCTACCCACAGTAATTGCAACGGTTTAACTGAAGGCATGATCGTGAACTAATTACTGAAAAAGAAGGCCATCATGGTGAGTCATAAGCAGATAGTGAGCCTGAATTCAAGCACTTTCTCTTTCATGTAGCCTTTGCAGACAACTAAATGTCCAATATGGGTGTTAAAGACAGCACTCTGCTGTGGCTATGCAACCTCCTTGCCATGGATGAAGTTTAGACTAGACTAAGTAGCAGCAACCAGGAGAGTCTGTCAAGCTCTGTGGTGCTTTCTGGCCTTCACCAGAAGAATGTCTATGATCTAATGACACCAGAA